GTTTTGAGGTTAAATTTGCAGATAATTTACAACTTTCTTTCAAATGGCAGAACAAATATGTAGGAGGATAAACCTTGAGGTCATGTACACTTATAAAAAAAACTCCAACAATCTAAGGGCTCCTTTATTTAGCACTGAAGGCCATAATGAGAACAAAAGCCAAAAGCTGAAGGCAGACAAATTCTAATCTAAAGTATGGAACAAGTATTTAGCAACAAGATAGCTAAAACTCTCAAGACAAAGCAGGAACATTTCTTGACATCTCCAAATAAAAGTGAATGCAATTCTAGAAGAAATGCTTTACTGTAACATAACTTATCAGGTTGCTGAAGGAAATGTGTGAATTATGTGGGTCAGTTTGGATGACCTCCCGATTACATCCATCTTTAAAAACCCTATAAACTGAAAATAAATCATTACTCTAAAGCAAGTCACAGCTCACTATTTGCCTTATGTTTCCAATGCTTCTGAGTTCATTCTGTGACGAGCAATGTTAATCACTTGGTATTATAATCATGCAGTGAAAAGTCCCAACAAGCTCTCCAGTTGGCAAGCAGCCACCATGCTTCCCGTCACCTTTTGCTGCACCATCTTCTTGGTAACAGAGAGTATTTACAGGGGTGAGATGGAATGAGACATTTCAGACAGCTGAGATGCCAGTTGCTAATAGAGGGGGTCTGCTGCTAGCTTGTATTTATTCCCCCAATTCAGAAGATCATCCACAGAACACAGCTTAAAATTGGCTATTCAGAATTTCTCCTCTCTGGACACGCATGCATGTTGGCAAGTCACACCTTGTAGTCCAGCTGACCCAGCCCAGTAGGCGCTATATTCAGCTTCTCTGAAGCTACAGCTAGGCAACATCAGCCCCAAATCTGCTCTGCCTGACACATCAGTAACAGAAGTACCAGCTAATCATTTCCAATCCAAAATAGAATTTATGTCGCTGTCAATGACAAAAATTAGCCTGTGACTTGCAGCCCTGAACAAGTAGATTTAAAGCCTTTTCTTTGTCAATTCTTTTCTGAACAGAATCACGTCATTCACTTTAACTGAGTTAGGAATGCAACAGCTTAAACAGAATACACATGCAGACAGTAAAATTTCCACTATTTTGCAGTGTTTAAATTTCAGGCTTCTGCTTCTCTAAGAAAAGAAGCTTTATAAAACTGAGACTGGATTTTCCAATCATAATTCAGGTCCATTACAGAGTCATACTGTGCAGCGTGGCAGCACATGACATCGCATTGCAGTGTAAAGACAACTGAGGGTATTTTTGGGTTTGCACTCCACCTCCTCCACAGCACAGGCCATACTGAAGCCATGAAAGGAAGAGTCTGAAAGCTGATTTTCCTTGCTAAATCTCTCACTAGCCACTCTTGTTTTCCAATAATCAAATTTCATTTATCTGCACTAAAAGCAGAAATAAAAGAAGGAGTGAATAGTTAGATTATTTTCACCCCTAAACACATTAAGCTTGTAAAAACAAAAAAGTTATTTGTGGCACTTTTGGGCAGCCTGGAGATTTCCTCTGACAATACAAGGGGAGCAGGTCTTCCTTCACTAGGTCTCCTCTGAACGCTTCTGTGCTTGCACTGGGCCATGAGATGCAAAGACACCAGGGAAACAGAGCAGCGATTTACACTGACAAAGAGGATTTTGATACACTCCTCCAAATGGGGCAGCATTACCATCTTAATAGCCTTTTGCTCTCAGCCCTCTTCCTGAGGAGGCTGGAGATTTTTGCGAATGGAGAACAGTTCCGCTTCCCATTTCAACTGCAACAATAGCAGAAGGGCTCCTTAAACTGCATCAAATAGCAGTCTGTGAAATCCCTAACTAGCCGCACTGCCTCTCCTGCCGTTTTATTATCCTCCGGCCCAAAGAACAAAAGGGAGGGAGCTCCTCCTCGTTTTTAGCCTATTCCACACATCCTAATCCCTCAGAGGTGGTAATGGAAATTGCTTGTGCAACTGTTAAATCGCACTTTCACTTTGTCTTTCATTCCCTATTCACCCTCACTAATCAAGGAACTTCAAGCCACATTTTCCGATATCAATTTTGTTTATGGCCTATTGGTTAATGGTCTTGGGATGGGACCCCCTGAGTAAGAAGAAAGAATTCTGAGCATTTCAGACAGCTGCTGCTTCTCACCAGTTCCCACACCCATCCACTTGTTCTCATCAGACACCCTGAATATGCTCACCTCCTGACACCAACTGAATTCAACAACAAAAACTGAAACGGAAGGCTGCCTCTGCAATCAGGCTGTGGGACAGATTCTGCTTGTTCACACTGTACAGTATCCTTCAGGCTGCAGCACTGGAACAACTCCCTTGCCAAAAAAAACCATGGCCAGTTGCTTTAGGGACATCTTACTTGAATCCAGCTTCTCTTTGGAAAGCAGCAAGAGCTCCACAGAATCATAGAATGGTTTGGGTTGGAAGGGACCTTAGAGATCATTTAGATCCACCTGCCTGCCGTGGGCAAGGGCACCTTGGTCCAGACCAGGTTGCTTTCAGCCCCATCCAGCCTGGCCTCGAACACCTCCAGGGAGGAAGCACCCACAACTTCACTGGGCAACCTGTTCCAGTGCTTCACCATCCTCAGTGAAGAATTTCTTTCGGACCTAGTCTAAATCTACCCTTTTCCAGTTTATAGTTATCATGATCTTGCTTACTATCCATCTCAGAAAAAAATAACTGAAATTGAAACAATGTTGTAGACAGTAACTAAGAAAAAGCTTACACAAAGAATGCCTAATGGGGATTCCACAATGATTTCAGAAAAACAAAGGTTGTTTGATATGCACTCCAGAAACAGGGAGAAGAGCAATTGTCATACTCCTAACACAGCGCTTTTAAGGATCCTTCTATCAAAAAACCTTGCTCCATCATCATTACACGTTATCAGGCAGGTTTGTTCTCTAAAGGTAGCATTCAGTCCTTAGAAAGCTGTATACTTGGCTCACAGAAGCAAAGTGAAACAAATAAAGATCCTCTCTGAATAAGTGATTTCATTTCTGAAATGAAAATGTTTATTTCCCTAAGTTTCCCGTTATTGCCCGAAGAAAGCGCAGGAAATAGTATTATTTCATAATGACCAGAAACATGTTTGCAACCCAGAAGATATTTGAGTCCAAAAGTAGCATGTCTTATACCCTATCCTGAATCAAAGTATGTTTGCAGAGCAAGTTCTGCAAGCCATCATAGTTTAAACTGATAAAGATTGTATCTAGATATTGCAGCCTGTTTATAATTACTGGTCAAAATAAAGCATGTCAAATTCCCAGAATGCCACCTAAGAATATATTGTGTGTAATATCTAAAGACTTAGAAAACAACCAGTGCACCCTCACATTATCACTATGTAAATGCATCAAGTTTTGTTCCTTTTATTTTTTTTCTTAAATTATTTATCACCAGATATCTAAACTTATCTAGTCATTAATAAATGTAATCATGCTGCTGGTCTGGTATAGTCAGTTTCTAACTGGAAAATGGGCAATTAGAAAGAAGACTGCTCACACACACTACAGGTTTCTAGTGCTTTATAGGATCAGTGATTCTCAATCACTGGAACCTGAGAAACAGCAAAACAATTTTTTTTTTCCTTAATGCCATAACTGACTATGAGAGTGCATAACAAAAATTGACAGGTACTGATTAGTTTTATCTGATCTGCTTAACTGATGCAGCAATCAGGAACCAGATTGCACATCAACAGACAGCAACTCAACAAAGCTTGTCTACAAACATCTATCAAAAAGCAGGTACATTAAAGAAATATTTATTGGGATAAATGGAGAAAAGAAGTGAAGGACTGCATTTCTCTTATTCACCATAGTTTTAAAATACATATTTTTGGAGATGGCCACAAAGAACTCTAGCTCTCTATCATCAAGGTATTAGTATCCAGCTTTTTCATACAATACTCACACCCTGGAGCAGCCATGTCCAACCCAGCCCAGCACAGCCCATTCCACAGCTGTTCCCTGCCCCACACCATCGTGGCAGCAGCTTTGCCCAGCCGAATGGCTCAGCCCAGCCCTGGGCACACACCCATTGCTCACAACCACCAAACACTACAGTACAATTCTCAGTCTGAAACCAGGACTCAGGAAGTGCAGTACCAACTCGAGTTACAGCAAATAATTTTTAAGCATTTCAATACACTGGCAAAACACAGTCCCGTGAAGAGTGACAAAATGCAACTGTATTTTCTGTTTTCATAAAGGAATTTGAGAACAGGTTTCAAGATTGCTGAAAAAATTATCGATTTTTTTTTGTATATTTGCAACTCCATTTTCAATCAACATAAATATATTAACTACAAATTTTCTAATGGAATATAGAATTGCAATCAGATATTCAACTAAAAAAATTTTACCACATCTCTTTACTAGACCTTTATATGACCTCTCTTACCATAGAAAAATATCTGTGGCATCACAGTCATGCATTATCAGGTCACTGCTTTTTGGCAGCATGTACATTTGTAAACAAATATTTTCAAGGATGAAGTACAGAAAGATTAAAATTTCATTAAAAATTTCTGACAAGCACCTTGAGAATTCACTAAGAACTGCAACAACTGCCATTGAACCTGACACTGATGCATTAGTTTCTTAAAAACAAGATCAAATATCCAACTAGTTACATGTTTCTACTACTCACTTTTTAAAATTTTAATTAAAAATATATATTTTTAAAAGTTCTGTTACTTATACACATTAGCTATATTATATATTTTATATGCAGCCCACAACAATTCCTCTTCACTCAATGTGAGCCAGGCAAGCCAAAAGGTTGGACACCAATGTCCATTCAGGACCATACATCATCCACATTAAATATGCAACAACTAATTCGATACAATCAAAGACAAGACAGAAAACTGCCCTTTTCAACTAGAGTGCTAAAACACACCTTTTCATCAACAGTCACTTTTATCTTCCTCCAGCCTACTTAAAATACTAATAGTCAGTGTTCTCATCTTACCTTGAAGAACCAAGCCTGATTTCTCAATGGTGTAGAAAAATGTGGAAAATGGAGCAACAGGGGATTTTGCAACCAGGATCTGCAAAACAAACAAACAATCTGTAAGTACACGTCTCTATCACATACTGATCGGAGCTCAAATCTGTAGGACAATCTCACTAGATTTAACTTCCAGAAGAGAAAAGCAGACCACAGAAATAACAAAGTTACTATTGATTTAAGCCTGTCACTTTTAAGTACTTGAGATGTTTTCATAGGAACACAGAGATTATGCTGCAATTTTAAAAGGATTCACGGGTAATAAAAAAACTATCATCATACAAACAGAACATTTTGCTTGTCTTACCATCATTCTGTTAAGCCTAATCACTTCTGCTGGTTCAGGCAAGAGACAATTTTGAGCAGAGCCAAAGCTGCCAGTATACAGTGTAATTTTAATTGCCATTAACACTCCTACAGCTGTGCATCCTTGGCTCCTCCAAGAATTCTACCACATTTCAGCTGCTGCAGAAGCAGTGTAATCCACCTGCAGGTCATCATATCAGGGAAGGTGACACAGCATTGCAGTGATCTGGATGCCCTCTTTTGAAAAAGGGACAGTGACTACGTAGAATTTTATTCAAGAATCTTGTCCTTGCAGTCTCAAAATATGATCTGAAATTCCCTGAGGTTTTATAGTGCAATTGGATTTAGCTTGGTATTCAGGTACGCTGGCCAGGTTAGAAATTTGCCAAACTTTCTCACTCCACTACGAGGAACCATCCGCTACTGAGGATAAACTGCAGCACAGCTCCGGACAGACAGAAAAGGACATGTTAGCAAGGCTCGGATGTGGAATCCACAGTGCAACCCAAGTCACCCAAACATGCCTGGCTTTGTTTCTATGTTTGATTTTTGCTGATAGCCAAGGGCTGCTCCATCCGAGCTTGCCAGAAAATAACCCCCACTCTGTCATCTACGTGACAGAGTTAATAACGTCTGGTTAGAGCACAGTCAACACCAGTCTAGTGATCCCCACATTACCCGGGAACTGAAGACCTGCTCTCCCAGCATGCAGGTCATAAGAACCTGTCCACCCAAGGGCACCATGAAGCCCAGTTGCTCCCACATGGCACACCACAATCCCTTCCAGAGCTCTGTGCATAGAGCCTGTGTCTCAACTGATCAGAAAATCTATCAGGTCTATTTCCTTTTCTTCAGTGTACTGATTTCATTCAACCTCAGCACAGCTTTCCCTGTACAGTATTTTAGAAGCAGCACACATCTCAGTGTTTACATTTCCAAAGTCTCCCCAGATGGTACACTGCATCACGTCAGCCCGAGATATGCAATCTCTGGCAGATGCATTCAAATCCAAATTTCACAGAGCTACAGACAACTATCTTGTCTGAAGAGGTGTGGAGCACCAACAGCTCCTGATTTCAAATAGAATTAAAAAAACATTATTTCCAAAGGTCATGTCCTAATTCCACCAAACACTCAAGAACTGCTTAAGACTGCTGCATACAAATTTTGGTTGGAGGCATATAACGATCAGCAGGAAACAGGAAACAGTTATAAAAGTAAGTTATAAAACTTAACAGAAATTATTGAAAAATGAGGAAGTTCACACTCACCAAAACTATCCACATTTCCCTAAAATGTCAGACAGTATCAAACCACTTCATAGATATAAATATTCTATAGATCTAGAATATTTATTGCTAAGTGCAATATTAACAGTAAAAGCATCAGAAGTTTGGGCCTTGCAGCATACTTAATGTAACAAGAGATTCTGCAGCAAATTATGCTGCAAAATGAAGACATGTACAATTCTAAATGTTAAGGACATCCATTTGGAAGGCAGGTTTCATTTGTGTTTGTAGTCTACAGAGTCACAAGAAATCTCAGCATGATCACGTCCGTCTCATCCAACTGTGACACAGGATGAAGAAACAAAGTCCTCACACGGGGTCTTTAAACATAACCATCACAACCCACGTGTGCCCACGGCAAGGTAACGGTTTTATGATTTTCAGAATTTAAACCGAACACAGTCTTCCTTTCTTCTTCAGACAGTAAAAAATAAAGGAAGGCACATGAAGACTGTAAATACAGCCAGAGAACACCAGACTAGTTTGAATATCAATGTTTTCCTTATGAAGCTGGCAAAACTACCCCAGGATGTGACACAACCTTTGTGAACTACTCCAAGCAGGAAAACTGCGGTGCTGGCGCTTTCCCTTCTTGCACGTTAATTTTTACTCTTACTGCAACAAACTTCTGGAGGAAGGAGAAGCATGTCCCATCACACATCTGCGATGCACCTTGACAGAACCAGAATTCCTTTCCATCACGATTCCCAGACAGACAGCCCTCCTCCCTCACAGGGAAGCACAATCTACCAGAGAGACAGCAGAGTGCCTCCTGGTGCTTATCCTGCCTGCAGGGCCGAAACTGCTGGTCTCTGAGAACGCAAGGGAGAGGACGGGGTGGAAAAACTGTGCAAACGCTCAGCTACAGTCTCCCACAACAGCTGGATGTTTAATCAGATAGGCCCAAAGCGAAACAGTTACAAACCTGATGTCTAAGGTCAGATATTTGGCATTCTGCTCAGCGTTCTGCACGTAAGTACTAACCTACACACGAACGTGCGCAAGGCACAGTTGTACGTGCAAACGGATAGACATTCAAAGAACCCTATGTACATTCTGTTACTGCATTTTTAGGTAGTTACAGTATGCATATAACTAAGTATAGCAATGAAAAAACATAATAAATCATGTCCTTTCAGCAGCACATCACAGGGCCCCCTCTGAGATGCTGCTCCAATTACCTCTGAGGCTCAGCATTAGCTTTCCTTTTAGTGAAACAGAACTGGCTCACAATATTCAAAGGCAATGTATTATTTTGAATGATTGTTTACTTGGAAAAATAACTTTTAAAGTACAATTGTATATCTCACAACCAGATACACTTTTCTTTTTTTTTTTTTTTTGGTAACAACTAAGCCTACATTAACATAAACTGAAAAAGCCTACGTATTTACATTTATTTTCTGATCAAAGAGAAACAAAATACTATAAAAGTCACTGTAAACTATCCTCGGGATGGAAAGGCCAACACAGAGTAGGCTCTTAAGCATCTTCAAGGATCTCAGAAAACACGGAATGAAATACAGATCAAAAAAGAGAATGGTGTTTTGAATGCCATGATGTGGATTGCCAAAAATCATGCTACTGATGACGCTGGAAACAATATTAACAGTATCAAAAAAGGAAATTAAAATCTGAGTTATAATCGAATGAGATTGGGATAGTGATTAATCATATTCCAGAAATTAGTGAAGAAATATGCAGTTTTCAAGTAGAACAATGCTGAAAAAGAGGAAAGGCAAGAAGCGATGGGGGGGACAAACCTACGGATGCAGAAACAACTGACTGGAAAAAAAAATCCCAAGAGCTCAGCACATTCAAGAGGAAAGAGATAAACCCAAGTGGAAAAAAAAAAAAAAGTAAGAATCAGTATGTGGATTGAGGCCTGATAGCCAGTATTTGTCATACATCTGTGAAACTGAAAATGATGCAATGTAACTGAGAAGCTGCAAACATAGACCTGAAATGGAAGAGGGAAAAAAGTAAACTTGTGAATTGAGGCCTGTGATCTGAATCAGTACCACACAAGGTATTAGAAGAAACATTGAAGGGAAGTATAATTAGAGACTTGGGAAACAGGATAGAATGTAACATGGATGTCACGCCAAACACACTGGACATCTTTCTCTGACACATATTGAGGGTTTTGTTTTGTTTTTTTGGTTTGGTTTTTTTTTTTTTTTTTCAGAAAAGCTAAATATATATATCTCGGATCTCATCTATTTGGATCTCTGCAAAGCTTTAAATCATAATTAACGACAGAGAAAATAAAAATAAGCACAGAAGCTGTAAGACAAAGGAAAACAGTTATTAAAGAAAACACTTCTTAGCTACAGTGGTACCTTGCAAAATTACTAACCCCACCCCAAAACATAGCCAGGACAACAGCAATCCCAACTGTACAGTGCACCGGCACAACTCGCAAGGCACTGGAAAGCTTTACTCTGGAATACGAGGCACAGCACAGGTCACTCAGGAACTCAAACTGCAAGAGATGAGCCATGTGCTGCTGAGGAGAAGGCAGCCACGGAAAGGCCACTAGAGAACGTGAGCTCAGTGAATCCTGCCAAAAAGGCGGCTGTCTGCTGTCTGTGCAAGCAAGTAGGATGGGGACATGAGGGAACGGAGCAGGAAAGAAAGAGAAGAGCTTCTCAGACTGGAAGACAACACTGGCACAGGAACAAACGTGTAGCCACAAATACATTTTGGCTGGAAATTTGAAAGTTTATAACCATCAGTAAAGTAAGATTCTGGAACAGCTTCCGATTCAAAGAGGCAAAGCTTATAAAAAAAATCACTGTTTTCAGGATTCAGACTAAAATATTTAGGAAAGGGATAAGAAGCAGCGCCTGTGATGCGTTCCATAACCTATCAAGCGTGCTCAAGTGCTATGTGCAGACTGAGAAGCACAAAAGCCCTACCAATTCATTTTCTACACTAAGAGAACTGACAGAGCTAGAAGCCTATAGGCTAACAATTGAAGGTCTGCATGTAACTAGGGATCTTAGCAGTCAATTAAAGGAGAAACCCTGCTGGTTTTCAAATATAGAATTTCTTATTTAAAGTCTTCTCTCCCTATCTTCTGCTGAGCATCTGCTGCTCTCCCTAAGAATCCAAACAACCAGCTGAGGACGGGGAGAACACAGGGAGGCTTCCAGGATATCTCAGAAACATTTCTAAAACTGACATACATTTAACCATATGTCTTGCTCCAATTCCAAATCAGCTCTGGGCAAAATTTGGAGGGAGTATAGAAAGGTGTATTATCTGAACCTGAGTCTGAAAATAAATTCTCTATAGAGGGCCAGCTGTAGAGTGTGCTGAGACCAAAAACTGTTTCCACAGACATATTTTCCCAAACTTAGACTAAGAAACATAAGAAAGGATTTCCTTTTCACTTCTGGAAGATAAAGGAATATACAATCCTATAAATGCTCTTGATGCA